TCTACTTAAGGGGGATTATAGGTTCAGCCCATCTAATGTATTAACATAGGGGCCTAGGTACATGGAAACTAGGCTTTTATAGGGAGTTTATGTGGATGATTGCTAATGTTGTGTCCTAGATTCCTCTTATAAGTGTGGCATTTTGGTAGTTCAAATAGAATTCAGAATGATATTGACAATTAGTCACGCGTCGACATTGCCTCCAGGCATTCACCAACGCCCCAAACGGGTACTGCAGGAATGTTTAAAGCCCGTTACAGACCTTTTTAGCACATGCTACTGTGTGGAGGCTCGTCCTAGGGTAGAGTAGCTTGTTATTCCAAGAGAACGTATACATCAGGAGGACCCCCGCCCTGTAAAAGTGCTAGAATAGGAATATGAGAGGATCCGAATATCAACCTCATTATCCATCATAGTGACTATTCCTAGGTGGGGGTCCACCTAACGTATACAAGGAGACGCGCTTGTGTTCAGAGTGGATTGTACAGGGTGTGATAAAGTGTCGCAAACTTAGACTTCAAGCTTGGGAGACCCCACATGGTCTTACTCTGCTGTCTCAGGTACACGTAGATCATATTAAGACCGTGGGCTGTATAACCAGAGTCGTGTAACGTGCGGCTATGTAGATGCATCAGCCTCGTTTGGACCACTGAGGCCCCGTAGAATACCGCTATTCAAGCCCTAAGCCCTGCTCTCGGTGCGTGATTCCCACCTCTGATTCTCCCCTGTGAAGCCCCAACTCACAAACCCTGAATCCCAAGCCCTAAACCCTTGGAAAAGAGGAGCTTTGAAAAAAGATCCCAACCCCTAAACCCAAAATGCGCAGTAAGCTTTCAGGAGAAAGGCGCCACTTGTTCCAACTGCCCGGTGGTCTTGTATGGTGATGGCGGTCCGGTTCGATGCCCATGTTGCTTCTGCCTTCCTTACCTCGAGGCTATATGGTTTAGGGTTATGGGGTTTAGCGTNNGGTTTAAGGTTTACGGTTTATGGTTTTAGGATCATGGTTATATTGGGGGGTGGTTCCCTACAATCAGGAGACATTTTTTTTGGGGGGGAGGCCAAAAAAAAGGATTACAATATTGTGGGGTCTGTTATGGGATCCCCCAATTTTGTGGAAATGGCTACTTTACTCCTGACGTTTTCTGGGCGAAGTAGGATGCGTAGGGTGTATTTTGGGCTTAAGGTTTTTGATAGGGTGCATCAATCCACATCTGGGATTGAAAAGGATGTACAGTACATAGACAGGATGCGAAGGGTTTGGGGCTTCGAGGCAAGACATGGGCCTGTACCCTTCTTAGACTTATATGAGCTACAGTCTAAACTCCTTAAAGGGGGGTTATATAGGGGATTATATAGGGGAGTACTGTAGGGTCTATTAAGGGGGATACTAGGAGTTTAGACTATAGCCCATATGATTTCTGAAGCCCAG